TTCATCTTGTATGTAATAACTTTGCCCAGATGAAAGATGCACCTAATCTCATCTGTAAGAACATGGATTTGCCAGTTCTGTACTGCTGCCATTTGTGAAAAATGGTTTTGCCTTACTGTATTTCTTTTCATTATCCTTACTTAGTGGCTGATCAGCTTCCAATAATGTGGTTACTTGATCTTATCCTGTGAAATTACAATCCATTATCTCATCAGGGTATGTTCTCAGAGGGGATTTAAAAAAATGCTGTCAGTAATACCTGTACTCAGCTGAAATTAAGTGAGGGCATGGAGTAAGCTTCACTGCTGCAAAGTACAGGGTATCAGCACCTGTCCTTCATTAATCTGCTCAGCCCTTTCTCTTTATTTTGTAAAGTGACACAATATCATAAAGCCACAATGAAATCCGTGGAAACTTGCTGTCTGTCCATGTTTTGAGGAGTCTCACCCACCTAGATGCTGCCTTGCTTGATGGCTTTGCTGCTGGGCTGAGATTGACAGGGAGCTCATCGCCGTGGCTTTCCTCAGGTGCACAAAGCCTGTTGTGGAAAGCTGAAACAAAGCCAGACATTTGCAAGCCAGTTTCTAACCTCTGTTAATTGAGGTGCCATTTTATTAGGCAGAATTGATGATGCAGTAAGGGGAGTCACACTACATTAAGGCAAATGTATGAAAGCACTTATTGCCACTGAAAGGCAAAAGCAGCTTGAGGACATGCTAAAGGATGAGTGTAATGCTGTAGGGAAAATTCTGCAGGTAAAGGTCAGTGGAGTTTTCCTTAAAAGTAGTTCTTGGACAAGTTTGGGTCACATTTTTTTGGTCCAATTTCTAATGCTGCTTTCTAATCTTTGCCTCAAAGAAACAATGGGGTATGAAGCATACTGACTGTACAAGGACTTAGGTAGTATGTTGATCTCCCTGTCTTTCTGAAAAATGCCAAGACTAGCTTAAAATCATAGACTCTGTTTTGAAATTAAGAAAAAAAATCTTTTTCCTTAGGCTTTTTGAAGTCAAGTTTTCAGATGTTCCTGTGTGTTTAAAAGGGCTACACATTTACCTGAGTGAAACAGAATGACAAAATATGGAAGTCTAAAAAAAAGACTTTTCACTTAGCAATATATTTCCAGATGCATAGAGGAGAAGACCTCATGCCTCACATAATGGAATAGCACAATTTCCACTGTTTTCATGTAAAGAAGAATTGAAACTTCACAGCTGTGAATATGCTATTTATTGTCAGTGACCTTAAAAGCCTGGTCACTTCTGAAGATTCGTTTGGGTCTCTTCATCACCAGGAGCATCTTCTTGGGCTTCTTCCATACTACAGTCCAGCAGCTGCCTGTTATGATATATCCTGCTCATCATCAGATTTGAGTTCTTTATCAGGCTGTACTTATTTTGGTAGAGAAGTACATGTGTGTTTGTGTGCTACAGGAGCTGGGGGTGGAGGTTTCACTGTGTACTGCTTGCAGATAGAATTACTATCCTGTATTTCAACTTTGCTAATTTCCCTTGTGTCTCTGGTGGATGTCTGTGCAGGATAAAACAAACACTGCCTTTGGATTTGATTTGTGCTGTGAATTTGCTTCTAATTGGCACCACCCACACCAAAGTTTAAAGTCAATATTTTCAGTTTCCAAAGCCAGAAGGATAAAACCAGGCTACCACAGTGAGATTTTAAACAGCTGACAAAATGTCATCTGTCTGGTCAGTGGAAAAAGCTCCTGCAGGGGCAAGGTGGGCACTGGAAATCCCAGGGCTCTGCTTGCAAGCTGCTCCTTTGACTCTCCCTTCTCACAGCCTCTGAAGGATGAGGCTTGAGGCTTGTGGCCGTGTAATGCTTCCATTGCACAGCTCACAGGGTCAGCAAGGTTGTCACCCTCTGCTGAGGAGCCCTGCCAGTCTAGCTGAAGAGGCGGAATATGGGTGTATATCACTTTTACCCTGTCCCCTAGCTGGTGGGGTTTAGTCCTGACTTCAGCATTATTTAAAAGAGCTTTAGGATTGTTTAGAGTCAGGACACTCTTCTTCTGTGCCTTTCTCTTGTTCACTGCTTATTTAAGAGACTTAGCTTCAAGAGAGAAAATGAAATGACCTGAGTAGTTTTATAGGAATGCTGTGGAGCTGCTTCTAAGTAGCATTTTTGTGTGCAAGCATGAAGATAGAATGTTTTAAATTGATTTTATGACTTCTGAGGTAGGTGTGTACAGGCAAAGAAATGCCAGAGGCTCATGCACAGTGGTTTTTGTTGGTCATATTTTTGTGGGCTTTTTTCCCTAGCAGCCAGGCTAATGCTTAAATTTCTGCAATGCTTCAGAAATACATTCTAGTTGTTATTTAATTGTTATGGATAACAGAATCAAACCAAACATTTAAATGCATTACCAAATAATCTGGTAAAACTATTCCTAAACTCTCTGCCAGATGAAGCCAGAAGCCAGACACACAAATTATTGTCAGTGTTCTTCCAAATGAGTAAATTAGATCAGGTTCTTAAATCTTTCCTTGGACAGCTCAATAAAAAGACTGGAAGAACAGCTCCACACTCCTGCCTGGCCCTTAGAATATGAAATCTGATAGAGAGATATTAACAGTGGTGGTTAGATCAAGCACAATACCAATCAAGCACAGGACCAGGTGTAAGGGCTGCACAGCTGCTGAGAAAGGAGTGAGGCCAAGGGCCATGTGAGCACACTGGTTCAGATCTCCCTCCCCAGCAAGACAAATGGCACGATCTCCAAAAATGGCACACTAAGGTAAGTGTGACCTTGGCAATCTGCTTTGTTTTAGATTTCATGACCTGTGGTTCTGAACCTCACATACTTTGGGCTCTGGAGTTCTGTGTCTGTGGGAAAGGAACAACCCCAGTCCTGCCAAGCATTCCAAACGTGTGGGATAAAAAAGTGACATGTGAGGGGTTGCTGACAAGCATCTGCGCTGACAGAAGTGACACTCTGCTGCTGAGTTAGTAGCTGACATTCTGCAGGCTGAAAGGAGATGACCAATTCACTGGGGAAGGAGGAGTTCAAAACATCACCAGAGATGAAAAGGAACTTCAGAGGCGCCTCAAGGCCCCAGCTGAGATCTTTTGAAATCCCTTTGTGCCAGGCTGTCTGCAAAATGCACAGTGCAAGAGAGCTTCACGCAGGGATGGCATGTGGAATAGGAAGGGAAAAGCAGGAAAACCAGCAGCTCCCCAACACCTCATTGGAAACCAGTGTCAAAAGCAGAAACTGAATGCTATGTTGTAGCCCCAACCAGTGGTTTGTTACCTATTTTGTCATGACCAGCACAGGCTGATGCTTGTTTTCAGATACTGATTAGAAGGGTGAAAAAAAAAATCCTTTACAGGTGTAACTTTTTTTCTAAAAATATGAGCAGTTTCATTAACCAGGGATGATGGCCAGGCTGTGTGATTTGGGGGCAGGCGTTCTCTGCCTCCTTGAAAAAGTGTATTTCCGAAGGATGGCTTAACCAAGTGCCTGCCTGTCTCCAAAACAGCTCCTGTGAGCTGAATGCCAAGGGAGGAGAGGAGGCAGAGCCACACTTTGAGAAGAGTGATGCCCATTCTTGCGGCCCCTCAAAAATATCAGCCCCTTATATGGCCTGAACTTCAGTGTGAGTTGAAGCTGTCAGAGATGATTTAATTCTTGCTGAGTGCTCTTTGACTCCTCTCAGAGTCCCAGAATGAAGCTGAGGTCAGGGGCTGGGTGGCTGCTGGCTGCTAGCCCTGCCACAGCTCTGGGGACAGCACCTTATGGTCGTGTAGTGAGGATCAATAAATCTCACCGTAGGGCTGATCACTTGTCCCCATGTGCTGGGACTGCCCATTTCCAGTGCTGTGGACTGAGATGAGGCACAATAATGGCATTGAAAGAAAAGATATGCCTTCTGTCCAGTAACTGATGTTTCCCTTCTGTGTGCACTTCCACACAGAATGGGCTGGATGGCTTCACATTGAGCTGGAACATCCAAACCCATTGATGCCATTTCAAGAAAGTGCAGCACTTGTTACAATAATGACAAAACCATCACAGCTTTTATTCATCTCCCTTTTAGAGCTTGGGTTATCAGTGGTAACTCTATCCCTCATTATTTTTAGTAGAGTAGCTCTCATCCACTTTATATGCAAGCATTACATTTGCTGCATTCTGATCCTAAATCCATAATACAATAGAGGGAGGAAAGGGCCAGCCACCTTTAATGAAGGTCTCCTAATTAATGTCACCAAAGTGTTTGGGTCCGCTAAGATGGTTGTTCCTCAAAATATTAAAATTGCAAATGATTAGCTTGGATTGCCAAAAATGGGAGTATATTTTTGTAAGCATTTTCCTGGAATTGGTTCAGATATCCAAGCGTTCATTGGTCAGTAATAAAATTCTGATCGTTTAAATGTCTGCAGTAAATCAAAAGCTTTTTTTTTTCTCAGAAGCAGCAGCTCAGATGTTATCCTTTTAAATGTTATAAATATACTTGAAGTAATGACTATAACACCAGTTCCTTTATATACACAGAAATTAGCCTTGATGATCAATATTATTCTTTATGGGTTTTGTATTGAAATAAATTTAGAAATTTATTAATATGTGTTATTACAGCTCACTTATTCATATAGATCTTACAGCTAAAAGGGAATATTATATCAGTTTTTTTCATCCCTTGTACAGCAGATTGTGCAGTTTCTTTAGAGTAGCCTGTTCAAATAAGTGTACCTCACACTTGGATTTTGTCTTCTGTGGTTTTTGGTGGCTGTTTTTAGCAAGCCCCTTACAGTAAAACAATACTTTGCCATTCTCCCTGTTGTGACTAGCTTTTACCAAAATTTCTGCTGGATGTATTGACTCCACCAAGGTGATGGTTCCTCAAAACCCTTTCATTTAACCTCAGAGACAGGTGTACTTCTTTGATATGATATAATCAAGTCTAACTGCTTTTTTCCTGTAGATGCTGACCTGTTCTGCACTAATGAGAAGACCCAAACTGATTTCAGTATAGCCAAAATTTAATCCTGTTTTTTTTTTTTTTTTTTTTTTTTTTTTTTTTTTTTTTGTAGTAGGGGATCGATAGTGTTCTACACCTGCATTCCTCCAGTCAGGGCTTTCCATTAACAAATCCAGTGAAGGCATTCCAAGGCTGCATGACTGCATCACCAAGCAGTGGGCACTTTTCTCTCAGTCTAGGCTACTTCAAAATTTGTTATGTCATGTGGGCATAAAGCATCTTAGGTATAAGTTGGAGTTAGGTCCTTTAGTAAGAGCTATGGCTAAAGAACCACTATATTTTCTCTAAGTTATAGCAGAATCAGGGAAAAGAGACCTGTTTTGTTTCCACCCTGCATCGCCAGAGATGGTACTAATTTTATGTTGACTTTTACCTTGTGGAAGCTTTTTCCCACTTAATTAATTTCCTCAGTGTAACAAACCTGTATGATTTTTGTAATAGTGATTGTCATTTTTCTGAGATTTTACCATGGAGAAATGTAAAATTGGAGAATGGAGAATTTACTTTGGGGAAAGAGCTGTCTGCAGAAACTCATGGTGCCCTTCTAACACTGTAATCCTAGGCAACCCAGGGAAATTTAGGGAGAATTTCAGGATGGAAAAGTACTGCTAGTTCTGTTAAATCCTATTAAAAAGCCATACATGGAGAAATGAAGTTTAAACAAGGCTTGGGGAAGCTGCTTCAGGGAAAATTTGTTGTTTTATGTAGTCTTTATTCTTACCATTAAAGCTGCTTTTGTTTTGTTGCAGACTTGCATTGTAAAAATTGTCAGGAAAGAATAAGAAAATAGTGAAATTAACCAAGCCCTGAACGAATGCCTTTAAGGTTACAATTTCCATTCCTTCAGTTGATTTTCCCTGGCAGAACTGTAAGGAAAACTCTACTTCATTAAATACCAGAAAATCCATGGTGCTAAAGCCAAGCAGATATTTGAAAGTATCCCCTAAATTTTGCTGATGAACTCGTGCTATTTTGTTAGTAGATATTTCTGGAATAGATGGCATCTGATGGTGATGATTCTAGAATAAGCAACATTTATACCTATACATATGTGTGTATGTGGCCATTTTAAACATCTGTCTCTGTAGGTAACAGTGGAATTTACTGCATTCATTTCTGGTTGCCCCTCTGGAGCTCTGGAATTTCAGTTCTGATATCTGCTAATAGGGAATTCCAGTATGTCTTGTTTCAAACGCTGAAAAAAAAGAAAAAAAAAAAGAAAAAAGAAAATAAGAAAGCAGCAGCATCAACACAGGACATCACAATAGCAGATTAAATATAGACATGGATTACAGAGCCATTGTTTTCACTCCTGCTAAATAAGACAGTACACTTAAAATGGAATGCCACTTGACCTTTTGTGTCTCTTGGGTCTGTGGCTGTATTTAACTGCTGCAGGGAGGAAACATTTCCCCCTGGAACTGTCCCCTGCTGATATGACGGTCGCTGCTGCTGGGTCACACCATGCTCAAGAGGCAGAATCCCAGCGCTCCAGAGCACAGGAGGGACCTCGCAGCTGATGGAGGAGCTCTGTCCATGTCTCACAATGACTCGCGCTCTTTTTTCAACTTATCTCAGCTGGTGCTCTCTGCTGGCCAAATCAAACCATCACCAGCGCTCAAACATTCAAAAGTCACCTACTTTGAAGTAGAGATTGTTGATGTGCAAAGCAAGAAGCAGATCTGCATTGTGGACAAGGTGAGTGTGCTATCCCAGCGCGCCGGGGCTGTGCCGGGTTCACACGGTGCTAGTTCAGGGACTCAGTTTTCATTGTGCTGTGGTCTTATTCTGTACAAGTACTGTCATTCCTTTCTCTGGGAGACACTAAGAATTCCTTGTGAGTCATAGCCCTGGGCTGGTCTTCTCCAGGATTTTTACAAACAATCCTGCACTGGTTTGTTTTAGACCTCTTGGCAGCTCTGTGGGCTCAAAGCTACGTGCTTAGGCTGACTCTTGACACGTAGATCACGGTGCCTATTTCAGACAGAGCACGATACTTAAACATTTGTTTCAGAATGTATACTCATTTTTAATACATTTGTAAAGCCCACCATCTCTGCAATGCTACGAGTACCTAAATGTACTGGTACCTAAATGTACTCAACTGTTCCCTGCTTGTTAGATTAGACCAGGCACTTGTAAAAATTTTTCATTTTAAACAAAGGGTCTTAGCTAAAAGAGGTGTTTTGAAATTTTGTTTGGTTTGTTTGTTTTAATAATGTGAGTAAAAAAATATAAACTACAGCCAAATTGAATAAGTAGGATGAGAGGACTGGCTAGGATGGAAGTTCATGAACCCACAAATAACAGGTAAAAATGCTTAATAAATATTTTGGTCACAGTTTTCATGATTCATTGTCCCTCGGTGAAATAGTTGGTCTCTTTCATGCCATGAAAATGGGAATCCTAATCTATTTAGCCTATGGAATTTTCAGTAAATTAGTGGAGTTTTGGGACTTACTGTTTTTGTAGAAAAAAATTCCCTTATCCTCATTGGCAACAGCTGGAACAGGTAGATAAGTTTGCTTCAAATGTTTAATGCCTTTGAAATATGCAGGGTGGAATGCTACCAGATTTCCAGTGTTCTTCGTCTATTAAAGGGTGTTTTTCCAATTTGCATGCCTAGTTAAAGTTAAATGTCTCATTTGTTAATTCTGAATGGGGCAAAATAATTTTTGCTATTTTTTCTAACCTAGCCAAAGAGAAAACATGCACAAAATGGTCAAACAAATAGGATGACTATTTATAACAATTTTGATGGTAGTGTTCATGTTACTTTACTGAGTGATATTTACACAGTTGTTAGCTTCTCTACATACATTTAGAATTAGGTTTTGATCAAAAGAAAGACAAATCTGTTTTTTATCTTGAGCTTTCCTATAATGTCATTAAAATACATATAGTACAGAAACAGCATTAGGCAAAGACCCACGTTTCAGGAATCCTTCCATGCTTCATGCTGCTGGGATGATACCAGACATGTGTTTTAATCTTTATTCTCAGTTTTTCTGACCCTGAAGATTTTCTACATCTCCTCCAAACCATGGACTCTGCCCCTGTAGTGGTGAAAAGAGAGACATGAGTGATGATTGCTAAGTACTCTTTATTCAGAGGTAAAATACACACAGGGTAGCAATAACAGCTGCAAGTCTCTGCTCAGAAACAGAAATATATGTTCAATTTACACGGCCAGCAGTATGGGCTTTTTTAAAAAAAATATTTTTGGCACAGTACCAAGGAATTGGTACAAGTATAGTACAAGCTGAGATTTCCAAGACTGCTTAAAGAATTTGGTTTCTGAATGCTCATTCACCTGGCTGTTTATTTTATTTGCTGTGATAATCCCTAAGTCAACCCTGAAGTTACAGAAGTTGAGTTCCTTGCTTCCATGGACACTTGTTAGTATTGGTGAACTTAATTTCAGTTGGTTGTTAGGGCAAACAAGAGGCTGGTGTACTGGTTTGTGCATAATTTTCTGTTTAATTAAATATAACTGCTACAGGCCCAACAAGATACTTCTAATGCCTGTTTCCTGTTTGTGAGATAGTTATGATTAACTTAATTTCTTGGGTTTGCATGTAATTACTGCTTGTCAGAAGAGGAACCATGGATTTTAAAATGCATGTATTTAGACTCTTATTGCCTATTGCTAGTGGTTCAGAATATTATGATTTAGCAAATGCATTTATAATATTCTCAGATTAATAAATCTAAAGGGGAAATTTTTATTATAATGGTAGAGAGAAGAACCCTTTCTTTCTCCACCCAACAGAAACTCAGGCAGAGTGATTCAATGCTTAATGCTCTGTGGTTAAACACCAGGAGATGATTCCAAGAGGTTGAGTTTCTCTGAGATCCTTGCATGTGCCTATGAATCCTATTCAGATTAATGGGAGCTCTGTAAAGTCTGCAAAATTATGGCACATTTAACTAGTTCTGGAATTTAGCAAGAAATAATTTCCTGTCCTCAATACAGTATCAGGAATTTATAAAAGGTGTGTTTGGCTGTGTCATCTTCAGAAATCAGTTGGCATCAATCCAAAAGTTTTGAATCTGGCACAATTAATTCTCTGAATTAATTCTCCATTTAAAAAGGGAAAATTAGCATTATTTAATTTCATTTTCTTTCCTATCTTACACTTTTGGGATGGATCAGTCACGTATATTAAGTGGTTATTATAAGTTCTTGATTATCTTTAACTTCAAGGAACAGAATAAATACGTACTTGTTTTTTAAGCCTTTAAAATATTGTTCACACCCTGTTGCAGGCTTTTTCACAACTAGGGAAAGGCAGAAAAAAAAATAATGAAAGGAAGCAGAAGAAGTGAAAAATCCCAGACATTTTGGTGCCATAGTCATCTCCTGCAGGAGCTGGGTTTGGAGGAAAATTACTTAATCTTGAAAAACTTAAATTCACATGAGTCAGCAACACTGGCAGTTTATTTTGCACATGCACACTGTGAACATGAAATTCTTTATGGAAGTACAATTTCTTTTATTTAATATTGTCAATCTGCTCTGGGGACTTTCTCTGCTATGGATATGATATTATGCAAGCAGTTTGGTGCACATGAGCTTTTCCAGTGAGTTACTTAAAGAATTTAGAAGAGAAATAATAGCAGTGTGAGATCTTTTCCCCCAGATTTGCTCTTGAAATTAATTCTGAGGTGATGTGCCATGGAGAAGAGGCTTCTGATTTTGGAGGATGGGGAGGAATCACAAACCAGCTTCAGGGTTGTTTTTCTTTTTCACAGTTATCCTACAAAATGTCTCCAAACTAGCGGAACTCTCCAAGCAGGGAAAGATATTTAAACTTAGGCTACAACTGTTCTTAGAAGCAGTATGTAAATGCTCAGAGGAGGGATCCTGGGACAAGGCACTGAAGTTTTGAGGAGGTGTATGAGCAGCCTGCTGCTCCACAGAGTGCCCATGGCAGGATAAGAGTCCGGGTGTCTGGGCCACTGCAGGACAGCACTGTGGGTTTTCCTTCCTTTTTTCCCCACTCCCCAGAGAGGCAGACCCAGGAGAGGATGTCCCTGAGCAGAAAGGTTTTTACCCAAGCATCCAAAGGCTTTACAAAAGCTGGTGCCTGAAAGCCACAATTAGGAAAATTTAGCCAAGAAATTTGGCCTATATTTTTACAGTCAAGGCATGGTAAGCAAGAGCTGAGTGTCTTGTGGGCCAGTGTTCAGCTCTTTAACATGCACTGCAATAAAATAAATGCAATACTGCATTTGTGTGAAGATATTCTGTAGCTGAAACATGAATCATACACGTTTCTTGCTCAGTGAGTGAAAGACTTTAGCAAGGAATAAATCTCTTCTTTGGCCAGTGTAAAAAAGCAGGTGAGCCTAGATAATCAAAAGTCCCTTTTTTCCCTTTTCCCTTTCCCCTCAATTTATTAATTTGTATGGAAGAAATTCCTATCTCTGTGTAAAGAGGAAAGCATGTGATTAAAGATTTCTTGTAAGAAATATTTTCAATTAAATAGCATCACAAAATGTCTAAGGATCTTGGCTTCTGTGTTGCTTCTAAAAAGCCACAGAAAACAGCAGAACAGCAAAAATCATCAAGTGTTATAAATGAAAGAAAACAGTTCCTTTTTGTACTTTTTAACAAATAACCCACATTTTTTTTGCCACCCACAACTTATGAAAAATACATGGCTACTCAAAAACTGTTTCCCTCATACATTGTTCCAAAAACCTGATGTAGGTTGGTTTTAAAGTTATTGATGTGCAGTGATTTGATTTATAAATGCTGTTAAAGCAACTCATAACTGTTTCTTTTATAGCATTCTTTGTATAATATTTTTTTCTTCAAATTAACTTGTAGTAAAATGTATTTCCCCACAAACATGGTGCAATGTAATTAACTTTGCATGAGTTGCTTTTAAGGCAGGAAATGTTACACAGTACAGTTTTTACAGAATAAATCACCTCTGGAGAAACCAGCAGAGAAAGCTTTTTCCCATCAAAATCCTCAGAGCTCAGTAGTGCTGTATGATTTTGCAAGTTAAGCTGTAAACAGAGGTGCAAACTCAGTTTTGGCTGCTGTGCAGTGACCCCCGTTTTCAGAACACTTCCTAAGGCCTGCAGAAGAGATCTTGCTTCTTCAAATGTGCAAGAAGAACCTCTTTCCCAGATGTGTTGCAAAGATAATGGAGGCTACTTTCCCACTGTTCCTGAAGCCAGCTCTCCATCCTCCACCCAGTGCCTTCTCCCACTGAAATGTCTTTGTAGAACCCACCTAGTGATAACTGAACATTTATGGCTCGCGGTACACGCTGGAGGAACTTCTGGTTTTACGTTTGTGAGTTGTAGGCACTGTTTGCTGTGCAATGACTATAATGAATGTAATGGGAATATTGTTATTTTTAGGGAACTAAAATGCCCTTGCACACAAGTGTATGTATCAACACAGTCACTTGTCCATATTCAACACTTCTTGCAGTTAAATATGACAGTGTGTATATCACTACATCCTTTGCCAAAGATGAATTAGGGCTTATTCTGATTGCTCTGAAAGGCCTGTTTTTCTCTGAAGGAGCTAAAGGGTTTTTTTGTTTGTTTGTTTGTTTCTGTTTTGTTTGTTTGTTTGTTTGAAAAGCACCTGAGGCAGCAGTGTCTTTGTACCTGCATGCTAAGGCTTAACAATGCAATGAATTTCCACTGGCATATCAGCAAAGCCATTTGCATGCAGAAATGCTGTCTCTGGTATCAGAAATCTCTTGCTCTTGCCTGTGGGTTGCAACTCTGTCACAGAAAGGGAACAGCCGAGGAGAACACTCATCTCTTTTGCAAAGTCAGCTCTAGCAAATAAAAATAACTTCTCACATCATGGCTTGGAGGTTAGACATACCACATTCATTTTAGGTGAGCGAGTGCAGTCATTAAAGTAGGCAATGAAACCCTGCAAAGGAACTGTGCAGTACGAGAACACTGCCTCTAATGTCAGGTTCTTCCCATTAGCCTCATTCTAGTGAAGCAAAGTAAAGAAGTCCTTTCCCAGGAAAGAGATTAATACTTTCATGGCCATTTTAAGTATTTCCCCCCCTAAATCTTTCACTTCTAATATTCCACTTCAGAGGACTGTATAATCTTCTCTTCAGAGAATGAGCAGAACCTGTGACCATCCACAGGGGTCTCCTTTCATGCACAGGATTTTTATCATAATTTTTCTCATTCAAGCAATCTATCATTAATGGCGTGCCACCTCTGATGCCAGGGATGCCAAAAGGGGCTGAATAACCAGCTGTGCCATGGTAGGGGCTTCCATGGATGCTGAGTCCCACATAGCAGCAATTCCCACAGAAAAATGGCTGAAGGAACACAGACACAAAAACAGCTGGATGTAGGCTCATTGCTGTGGAAATCCTCTTTTTTACTTCCTTTTGGAAGGAGGATTTCATGGTGTCTTGTGTCTTTCACTGTATGTTTTCACAGCATCCAGCACAACGGGGATCTGGCCCTTGCTGGGGGACACTGAGAAAAAATAAATTATAAAATATGTGTCTTTTTTTGCCTATAGGCATTGAATCTTATGCCCAGCCACAGTGCTGGAAGTGATGACAGTAGTATTTTCTTCCTCAGTTATTACTTATGCTTGGTAAAGTAGGTAAATATATTCAAATTCTGTTGTAGCAATGCACAACACTTATTTCTTCCTGCTCTGCTAGAAATTCACATAATTTTAATGTCAATATAGCTACGGATGGTTTCAGATGAAAGAGGCAACTATACATATTACTTTTTGCTTGCTGTGAGATGGCTTTTTAAATGGAATACCTGGAGAAATGGCCTTTGATTTTTCTAGAAGAGAGAGACTGGGGAGGGGAGAAGCTGGTAACTTTAGGGCATTTAGCATTTGGAAAGGGATAATTTAAAGAATTACAGAAGCTGCAACAGATGACTAATGCTTCAGCTGATACCAATCAAAGCTTAGAAGAGCCTTTAAATGACAGATTTTATGCATCTCTTATTTTAGATAAAAAAGTCTAAGCCTGGGGGAAGAAATAAAGAAGCAAATATAATAAATATTCAAAAAAAATTAAAGTTGCATTCAAAGTTGAGCAAAAACAAGAGTGAATTTGTGATACACTGGTGGTGCTCCAACTTTTTCTGAGCATTCTGGCCAGCAGCAAAAGCCAGCTATGCCACCAGAGCAGTGAATATTGCCAGAATTGCATCTGTAGAGACAGATTCCCAGCCAGTTTGAAATGCACTCTTTCCCACTAAAGTTATGACATTTTACCCCAGCCACATATTTGCCTTATTGCATCAGAGATAATTCAGAGATTATTGCAAATTATAAATGTACTGGAGCAATACAAGACCATAGGGAGCAGTAGGTGTTTTATTAGTCTAATAGTTAACAGCACAGCCCATGATGTAAAGTTAGGTGCATAATGGCACCTAACTCTTATAGGCATTAGTAGCATTAAAATACTCCTGCATATGATTTATAGCTCCATCAGAACATGCTTCAGGTTCTTTCTGAAATCCAATGTGTGATTCTTCACAGAACACTTGAGCCATGCAGTCATGGGTCTGTAAATACCCAGCAGTACATGTTAATGCTATTACTATATCTGCCTGTGTTTAAGCAATTTTGCACTTTAAAAAGTCCTTAAAATGCAAGCTTTTCTTCCTTATCTTGTGCTTCAAAAGATCAAATTGTGGCAATCAGAGGACCTCTTCCAGAAGTACAGCAAGCATCTCTTCATTGCTCTTGGTACTGAATAATGAAAAGTACTTGCGTTTCTAACAGACCTGATGCTGCCTGGTTGTTCTCATATATCACCCTCATTTCCCATTCCTTTCTGCTGCTTCTCAGCTTCCAACTCCCCTCCACAGACCTGCTTTATTAGCCCTGCTACTCACAGAATCACTTGTTTCACCAAAATCCATTCTTCCGTGAATTTTCTTTGGAACTGGTTGATTTTTTTTTTTTTTTAACTTCATGCAGTCCCCCATATTGTGACCAGCTTGTGCTAAATATTGGCCGAATTTCTTGGGTGCACTTCTTGATTTTTAATTTTAGCAGTGTGTGTAGACATAGAAAAGTAAACAAAAAACTATACAGCTATTTGATAGAAAAGGGAAGACAAATTCAGAGGTTCCACAGCTAAGCAATATGCTTTATTTGTGCTAGAACTGGCAATCAAAATCCCAACAAAAAACATAAACACCACCCTAAGCCTCACTTTATTCCTGAGAAGTATGGGTCAAAATTACTGCTTATTATTCTTTATTATTTATACTTTGTTCAATAAACCAGCACTATATCTATTTCTAATAAAATATTATAATTTTTAAAAGTCTATTTTATTATTTTTGGTCTATATTACATTATTTTTGACAACTATTTTGTTTTTAAGTGCATATCCCAAATGTTGTTTTCTTTGAAAATGACAGTGGAAAAAAATGAGTCTTGAATTTTTGATGAGGTAGAATTTGGGAAAGATTACATTACAAATTAATTTTGAAATATTTCAATCTGTTATGACACAATAAATATTTCAAGTTCAATTTATTTTACAACTTAATAGTGCATTTATTTGCATATTATTTCCTATTGGATTATTTTCAATGACATGAGAGCCATGTGTTATATTATTTTGCTCTATCATGATAGATGTGTCATAAAATAATGCAGAAATAATGAAAGTTTGATACAGATGAGAAATAAAAAGTAATGAATATAACACAAAAAATATTATTTTCCAGCATGTGCCAGAAGCAGATTTTTTTATAAATTTCTATTCAATTTTTAAAGTTTGAAATCAACACAAATTTACACATCCAGAGTTTTGAGAGAACAATTCCATTTCCCTGGCAGAAAAGTGTTGTGACAGAGGCTTCCCGACAGGTTCTGCTGTTCAGCTGCTGAGGTGAACAGTAACCTTACTCAAATCCCCTTAATAAAAGGTCTCAGGGCATGGGGATGCACCAATCTAGTCAGATTTGCTCAGAAATAGGTGTGCATGTTGAATTCTGCACACATTCTCTCTGCCAGTGAATTACATTCTCTTTACTTCCCCTCTCATCTTTGGCAGAGAGGAAAAAAGCTCTTTTTGGTGTCTGACACTTTTTCAGGCAATTTCTTGCAAAAAGAGAGGATTTTTTTTTAAAATAGAAATACCCAGCTAGCAGTACAAAAACAATTAATCATCTTTAGAGCCAAACTTGGCTGGGGTAAATTGACATGACTGCACGCAGCAAGCATGTGGTTATGTGTATTCTTAGCTAATTTGGCCCATAATCACTGGAAATGTTAGTCAGTCAGATTATCTCATATGCCAAGGTTCATGTGACCAGATAATAAATAATCTGGAAGTTTGCTCAGTGAGGCAGCCCTCTACTTACGTACGTGTGCTGGAAACTACCTCAGCTCAAACCACAATTTGGAATATCTCCTGCTTCTGGAAGGGCTGTGCTGAGGTCAGAGCCAGCTGTTTGGTAGCCACTTCACTGCAGCCTGCTGAGCAAAATACTGGATTCTAGATGAAGCCTTTGTGCAGCTGCTAACAGCACTTGTCTATATGTAGGTATCTCTACGTCATTTCCATGGTGAGCTCATTTATTTATATCTCTTTGGGCATGACCAGCACACTGGTTCACCAAGAGAGCTGTGTGGAACACACACTGGGAAAGGTTAAAGCAGAACAGTGCTCAATTTTTAATTCTGACTTTGAAAACTGACGATCAGAAAGAGCCAATCTGATCTAGAAGTCAAATTCACAAAACACAGAGATCAGCTAGAACAGGTGTTTTTCTAATTAACTTTCTGTGGAATGCTGCTGTTTTTTTTGTAATACAGCATGGTCCCAAAACAAGGACAGGGTGCTAAAGCAGAAATGATGAAGTATTTGTTGAGTGATAAATTTGGAATTTACCTGGCTTTCCCATTAACTGGTTATCTGTTTTGCAGCCAGACCCTCAGCTGCAATAAACTGATGTCACCTTTTTGAACAAATTTACCCTGGCTGAAGATGGGACGGTGGTTAATGAGCAACTGGAGTGGCAGAATTTCTGAATTTCTGCAATTATGGAAAATGCCTGTTACAAAGTAGGCGACTCAGCAGCGCAGTGGTACTGACATGTCACAAAGAGAAAAAAGTATTCAGAGAAAAATGTTGAATGAAAGATTACTTATTTGCTGAAATTCTATTATTCAGATTCTTATTGATATTCTGCTGACATCTGACCCCTACAATAATTCTTTAGTGCAAGAACTGTGTGATGCAATTACATACAGATCACCAGATTTGGCATAATTCCTTGACTTATAAATGTGAAAGAGATATGAAAGTGGATAACTATCTGATTACCCTGCACTCACAAAGGCAGTGTTAAGTTTCCTTAATATCTTCCTCTTAGTGCTCTTCCTTCAGCCCTAGTATAAAATACTAATATGGTATTTTAAATCTTAAAAAGAAATGTGAGGCATTGTGCATTGGTGTCTGAAGGAAGCATAGAAATGGTATGGACGACCCAGAAGGTCCTTTAATTCTTGAATTGTAAATGAAAAGTTTACTTCCATTTGCTTCAAATGGAAAAGTAAAAGTTTTTGGCTGTGAAAGTACAGGAAAATCAGGATTTGACATTTTGAAATCATACTTTTCTGAATGAAAAGTGTAATGACTGCAACCCACAGCTGTAAAATATGCATTTATTCATAACATTTTTTTTCAAAAGGAAGTAGTCTTGACCCTTACACATGATAGTCACTTACTGGAAAGTTGACTACACTTTAAATCAGGTGTTAGACTACAAGTGAAGAAGTTGTAGGGAAAAGCTGGCTTGACCATCAGGCTGTAGAAGACACATACCAAATAAGAGCAGAAATCCATCTTGCTTTAAACAAACTAAGGGTCGTCTCTCGCTCTCCTTTGCCTTTGCATATTTGTAAAGTGCTGAAATAGAGGAAAGAAAGGGTTATAACACTTTCAGACATAATTCAAAAGAATGAAAGGAGAGTAAGACTAATAATTACAGTGAAATATTCCAGGGTGTTTTATTCAGTTGGCACAAAGGGTAATAAGAGCAGATGCTTTCCCAATCCTTACAATTCCTTAGCTTGTATTGATGTACAAGAAAAAGAACAAAAGATAATTAATGGTCTACAAAGAGGACACTCTTGGTAGTAACCTGGTGTCTCAGCATCCATCTTCTCATTGATCAATATTGGAAACTATAACTTCACTGGTTGTTTTATGAGGTCTTTAGAAAAGGACACAGAATTATCAAGATCATAAAAAAAATGTATTTCATTCTTTTGTGGCTATAACCTCATTATTCTGCCTGTGAAAGGATGCTGCAATTCTTCTGTCACAACCCATTCTGAAGGGGGAGAGTATTTGTGTTATTCTTCAGCTGGCCATGTGTGTAGTTTGTCTTGAGTGGAAGGGTCCTTCTCAAAGGCAGCTGGCTCCTATAAAACAGGTCTCCTGCTGCCCTCCTGGCTGGATGTGAGCTCCGTGCCTTCCCAGGATCCCCGCAGCCTGTGCGGAGCCACCAGACCGCTACCGCCAGCCCAGCACATCTCTGGCCACGGGCTGGCAGGGCTTAAACCAGCTCTGCCTAAAGCAGCTTGGATGTAGGCAGGCACAGCAGTGTCCTGCTAATGAGCTCTGCCTGGCTCAGGGATGTACAGGGCATGGCCCTTCCAGCTGTGAGTGCTGTGTGGTGCTGCTCATCACACCCCAGGGGCACACCAACCGGCTCCTGGGCTGCAGCAGGACACTGCAGCCACCTGGTAGCTTTGCAACACCTGAGGCATGTGGGTGGCTCCACAGGTGGACCTAAAACATGAGCTTGGATTCATTTTTTAAATAGCTGAAGTTGGGTGATGTGAACCCCTTGCTGCCATAGCAGGATTTGGAGGGGAGAAAGCACTGATTGTCTCAGGATGAAAAAAGGGAGAGGGATGTAAAGGTAGAGTTGCTAACAAGGGCTTGGCTAGACATTTTGAACAGATTGAGGGCAGCTCTGCCCTGAAGTCAAAACATACTCAGGAGAGCTGGAGATGGAGACCTGGCTCTATTTTGTGCAAGCACTGCTCTTTAAGCATGCTAAGCTGTACAGTTTTTCATCTTTCTTTGCCTAAATGAGTTGATCAGCTCTCCAGAGCATGGGTTGGCCCTATGCTACTCTATCCCAGAACCTGTCACAGTAGGTGCTGATCTGTAGGGATGCAGGCCCTGCAGCAATGTGGCTTACACTGAATTTAGAAAGCCAGCTCAGCTTCCATCAAAGTGGAAAAAAGCATCCCTGTCCTTCAGCTGGCAATGCCAGCTCTGAGTACCTGCACATCTGCCCCGTGCTAGGACAGATGACAGATTTTGGTCTGCAGGCTTGTATACTGAATAGGTGTTGCCAGCTAACAGCTTGCATCTGGTGGATTCTGGACTCCAGGCCTCACAGGTGTGAGATTACAAAGTGTGAGAAAGCAATTTTAGACATTTTTAGAGGTTTCGAGAACATAACCCCCCCAAGTCCACAGATGTTGCACACATGATAGGAAAAATACATGGAAACTATGGGAGATGTGCTGCTCTACTGGGTGTTGCGTGAATTGCTCAAGTGCAATAAACACAGATAAAATATTTTCTTTTATTTTTAAACAAAGAAAGATAAAATGGTTTCTTCTATTGTTTCCTGTAGCTAGGAAGAAAAGGGTCTCCAAGGGCAGTGTCTCTTGCCTGGCCTAGTACACTTCAGCATGGTTTGGGTCAACATGGGTATTGGGGAGAGGGAAAAAGGGTAATCCTTGGTTTCAAGTAGCCCAGGCCTTGATTTGGGTGGAGTTGGCACTGTTTAGCAGGCACATTAGAGAGACAAGTCAGGGTTTAAGTGGAGTTTCATTTACAGCAGTTTCTGTAAATGCCCAGTGAAACCCTCTGTAACTGAGGAAAATAAAGTGTTCTCATCTAAACCCAAGAAAAAACTTAGAAAAGATCTGTACTTTACTACCTTTTAGCAAAGGTGTCATTTTACATCTTTAGATCACTAAAATCTGTATTGAGCTCTCTGCCTGTTCATATTACTGGAAGCAAGTTGGGTTACTCATAAGTACTAAAAGCACATACACTGTATATTTGTGTGGGGTGTCAAATTACATAAGAGTAAACTTTCTGCACTGATTTGTTGCTTTAGAGTCAGCAATTTTATTTTGTTGCATCAGTATTTCTCCAAACTCAGTCTTTCAACAAAACAGCTATGTTAAGGTGCTAAATGATCTCTAGTAGGAGAATTTCTTATGTTCTTCTCTATTTGTTTGCATGGTTATTGTCACAATCCACTAATAAGTAGTTCAACATGCTACTTCTTCAAAAGTCCCATTGCCTTTCCTTGTAAACAAAAGGCAAATCCAAGTATTTTGCTTTAGTAAATTCTAAATGTGTTTCTCAGGTAATTTGTACAAAGTATATTAAGAAATCAATATACATCATAAAACAGAGCCTACAAAGCCTCCAGACTGCCCTCTAAAACTGTGACACCTGAATTGCTTCAGTGCACATGAACAAAAGCATGCAGAAGCAAAGTCATTTAAGGAAGAAAGGACAGAACCTACCACTTTTGCTGCTGCCTTCTCCAGAGAACCCTTTCATGTCTCCAGGACATGGACCTCAGCATGCTTGAACCTAACTTTAATGCTAAATCTCTCAAGTTTTCCCACTGGTTTGGTCTAGGGGGCAATTATTGCATTGCCCCCTAGATCAAACCTCTTGACTCTTGTGATTTTACCCCTCCATTGACCAAGCAGAGGTGGTCCAGGTGATGTATAATTCAAATTTGGACAATCCTTAATAACATACCAACCTTAATAACCAATGTTTGTGTGAAAACAAATTTGCTGATTTTTTTCATTTTAGCCTGAAGGACTTGGAGACAAATTTAAGCACCTCTTTATTGGAGGGCTGGAGAAGTGATCCCAAATTGAAGAAGAAAGGAGAATTGATCTGCATGCATTTTGCTTTCTTTTCCAGGTACCTCCAGCATCTACCGTTCTTGATGTGAAACACAAATTTCACAAAGCATGTAAGTACTATGGTTAGCAGGCTGGAGACATAGTTAGAGGCCTTTTGCTTAGAGAAATTGTCAAATTTATTTTTCAGGAATCTCACACAAAAGCTGAGACTGGCCTGACAGCTCCAGAACTCAATAAGATTAGTGTTTGAACTAAGGTTCTGTTGTAGCTGTTGCAGATGGGAGGGGCTGGAAGGAGACAACTGCATAATTTATCACTGCCAGCACATGAGGGGCAGTAGTTTTAATCTTGTTTTTAACATTACACCGTGTCATTTCAAGACCAGTAGTGCATTTCTTCTCCCAGTGTTATATTGGATAAACTTCAGTAACAACAGACTGCTTCATGGTGGCCATAAACTGACCATGTGGACCAGAAAGCTGCTGTAGTGGGGAACGTGAGTTCAGAGTGATTAAATAACATCTGGATTCAGGTTAGATATATAGAAGAAATTCTTTATGGTGAGGATGGCAAAGCACTGGCACAGGCTGCCCAG